GGCCCGCCGCGTGCGCTGCCAGGGGCTCCCCGGCCTTCAGGCCAGCGCGGTGCAGTGCCTTGGCCTGCACTGTGTTGTATTGCAGTGCCCTGGCCTTCAGTGCAGCACACTGGGGTGCCCCGGACTTCAGTGTGTTGTATTGCAGTGCCCTGGCCTTCAGGGCAGTGCATGGGGGTGCCCTGGCCTTCAGTGTATTGTATTGCAGTGCCCTGGCCTTCAGTGCAGTGCATGGGGGTGCCCCGGGCTTCAGTGCAGTGCATGGGGGTGCCCTGGCCTTCAGTGTATTGTATTGCAGTGCCCTGGCCTTCAGTGCAGTGCATGGGGATGCCCCAGGCTTCAGTGCAGTGCATGGGGGTGCCCCGGGCTTCAGTGTATGATATTGCAGTGCCCTGGCCTTCAGGGCAGTGCATTGCAATGCCCCGGGCTTCAGTGTGTTGCATTGGGGTGCCCCGGGCATCAGGGCAGCACATTGGGGTGCCTTGGGTTTCAGTGCGTTGCATTGCATAGACCGGTGGTTCTCGAACTTTTTTTCATGGACCACATGAAAATCGCTGAGGGTCTCAGCAGACCACTTAATAAAATTTTTTTTGTTCTACAAATCAAAGCCCACAACTCATGTTTTAATATCGGTAGTCTGACCTTTCTAATGCGATGGACGTGCCTGTTTTTATGAGCAAAGTTCCAGGAAGTCCAGTGTAATGTTTCAGCTTTAGTCTTAGGTCACCTTTCTGCGGACCACCGTTTGAGAACCTCTGGCATAGACATTAGGGCTGGAAGGGACATTGCAAGATCATCGGATCCAGCCCCAGGGGCAGGAAGTTTGCTGGGGTCAAATGATCCCAGTGAGATAAGCATCCAAGTGTGTCTTAAAGGGGTCCAGACTAGGTGCTTGCACCACTTCTGGGGGAGAGTCTGTTCCAGACTGTAGACCCGGATGGTAAAGAAGATTTTTCTGATGTCCAGCCTAAAACAGTCTTCCCAGAGGTTGCATTGGGTTGGGTTGGATATTAGGAAGAATTTTCTCACTAGGAGGGTGGTGAAGCACTGGGCCAAGTTACCCAGAGAGGTGGTGAAGTCTGCATGCTTGGAGGTGTTTAAGACCTGGGTAGACAAAGCCTTGTCTGGGATGCTGTAGTTGGGGCTGGTCCTGCTTGGAGCAGGGGGTTGAACTAGATGCGTCCTCCTGGGGTCCCTTCTAACCCTCGTTTTCTATGATTTCAGTGCACTGCATTGCACTGGATTTGATTGCATTGCATTTGCAGTGCTTCCTATACCTTCACCCCCCTGGCCCAGCCTGGGAGGAACCTCATGGCCAGGCTGCAGCCCCCCCTGCTCCCCATGGCCACCGCTTCCAGCCTGTTGACAGGTCCCAACAATTGCTTGCTTGTGCTCCTGTGACTGCCCCGTGACGGGGTGGACGTGCTGCGGCTGCCTGGGCCCTGCTGGATCCCCACTACCTCCAAATATAACCCACGGCGCATGGCGGGGAGGGAGCGAGGGCTGGGCTGGTGGTTTCTGTGTGATCTGGACCAGGCACCAGACTGATTGAATGGTTGCTCTGACCAGGGCGCCCTTTTCTTTGGGCCTCCGCGGTCCCATGGGAAAGTGAGAACTTTGCTTTAAAATAAAATGCCAACTGGGAAAGGAGGCATCCTGAGCTTGGCCTTATTGCTGTATCTGTGCATGCGTGCAAGGGATGGAGGGGGAATTAATACCCATTTGACCTCAGCTGGTGAGTTAAACCACTCCTGCCAACTTTTCATGAGGCTGTCTAGGGCTGCACGTGCTGACTGGCCTCTGTGCACGTTGCCAGAAGTGTGTTGGAAACCTCCAGTCGGCCTCCCCAGAAGCGGGCATCGTTGTCTTTAATGGGCTGGCTAGTGCAGGGCTGCAAAAGTCGAGGATGGAGAGTGGTAATTCAAACCTCGGTCCCACTCAGAGATGCTGCGAACTGCCTTTAAACAGTGCTGCCAGGCACCTTAGTCCTGAGCGAAGCTGGTGGAGATCCCACGTGGCGCTGTTCCTAACCCACGGTGCCTTTTCTCCATGCAAACATCTGCAGTGTAGACCTGAGACTAGACCTTTCACGTAAATCCTTCTGCTGACAGTGGTGGAGCTCTCCCGAGTTGCATGGAGCAGTTGAGTCCTTCGACTTCATTTGTATCGTGTTGGTAGTGGACCTTGAACTGAAACGATGGGGGCTGCAGTTATGTTCGATGGTTTCTTAGTCATCTGCTGAGACCCCTTAAGTCATGTTTTTTGCAGTGTCTTTCCATCTGCTTCCTGCTTTCCCTTGCACCTTGATAAGAACCGGCATTAATGTTTCCTTTCTGTTTCTCCCGCAGAAAGAGTTTCCTTCGCTGCCGACCTCTCTCGAGGAGATCTTCACCCACTGGAAGAAGTAAGTCCGTCCAGTAGAAACCCTTATCAAAAAGGCTCCAACTCATTTTTCTCTCCCACCATAGCAGGAACCAAATTCGGCTGCCTTTGCGGTTTCTGCTCGTCGGGGTGGGCTGACTTACCGGAAATACTCTTGCTGCTGCAAGATGAAAATGTGGTTTGAACAATGGGGTCTTCTCCACTACCATCCCCTGCCTTCCGCATCTACAGCTGCTTAAAAGACAGCTCTCCTAGGGCATAAGAGTTAAATACTGTTCGGTCTGGTTGCACTCCATATGGCAGGGTTAAGGGGGCAGGAAATCATCCACCAGCAAAAATCTTTTCTCCCTCTCCGCTTCATGCAGCTCCCAGCAGCTTCTTTGTGAAGCCTTGAGCTTTCCCAGGACTTAGGCCCTGATCCAGCATGCACAGACTGTCTTTTGCAGGAGCAGGGCACCGTGGTTCTCCTTGGGGACAAGAACTCTTGGCATAGCTGAAAAAGCAATCGGGACTCCTGGTAGAGGTGATATCTTTTATTAGACCAACAAGTTTTTTGCAAAAAAAAGTTATTGCGAGCTTTTGGGCACAAACCCCCTTCATCAGGCAGCAGAAAAAAGATTGCCAAAGTTCTCCTGGGTAGAAATGAAAGTTCAGAGACTCCTTACCAGCGAAGAACTGCTGCCCAGAGGAGTTTTCCATCTGTTGACTCCTCTGTGAAATCCTATGAAATATGAACTTTCGTGTCTACTCAGAACTCTTACAGTCCTTTCTCCGATGCCCAGTGAAGGGTGTTTGTGCCCGAAAGCTTGCAAATAAAGAATTTTTTTTTGCAAAAATCTTGTTGGTCTAATAAGAACTATCACCCCTACCACGAACCCTGATTGCTTTTTCCTCTAGACCAGTCTGGCTACAATCTGGATACCCGGCATTTTTGCAACTGGTTTGCAACGTTTGCAACATTTTTGCAACTGGTTTTCCTTTGCCCCAAACTGAATCTGGTGTGACCCAATGACTTGGAAGTTTGCTTTTGATTTTTTTTTTTCCAAGGCAGCTCCTTCAGGAGCTTGCCTGTGTGAGTAAACTTCCTCACCAAGTACTGCTGCTGAGATCCTTGAAGGGACCAACGTATTTGCCTGGACGTCTGCAGCAGCGGGGCTTTTGTGTTTATGGAGCATAAAATAAACGTACGCTCAGGATCTCGCACCCATTCAGTGCGCTGTCTGCTTTAGTTTAACACGTGGCAGTGTGATGCTGCAGACGTGCGTACAATGAAAACTGGCTTAAGCAGCTGTCAAAGGGCCTGGCATAGTCCAGTTATTCCTGCAAGATGCAGCCCGTGCTGAATCAGCAGGGAGCGAAGCATCTTAGTGGAAGTGGCATTCAGCCACTAATCGCCTTGGAAAATAATTCATAGGTTTCATTGCAGCCAAAGCATGGCACGTGGACGTGTCGCCTTGCTCACGCTTGTGCACGTAACTCCACAGCTTCCTTTCTAGGGATCGTGCGGGCACCTAAGCAAGAAAGAGCTGAGTGTGAGGAAACCTAGCTGATGCAGCCTGGCTAGAGATCTTGCTGCCCGTGCTGGCTCTTGCTGCCTGTGCTACTTGCACCCACGCGTCGTGATGCTGAATGCACCTGTTCATGCAAAACGTGCAAACGATGCTGGGTGCTACACACTCTGCTGCATCACCTACGTTTGTTTTTTAAATAGAGATTAAAAAAAAACCTCAAGGTGCTGCTGAGATGCAAATATCCTGTGATGTGAGCTGTCACTTTTTGTAGCCCCAGCCAGCTCTGTGTCCCCAGACTCGCGCATTGTTTGGTGTCTGCCTTTGCTGTTATGTCTAGACCTGCACCTAAACTTTGCAGGAGGGGGCTCTGCCTTGCAGAGCTGCTGTGCTCTGCTGTGATGAGTTGTGCTGCTCACAGCGGTCTCTGAAGAGGCCACCTCTTTGCCTTTGTGCCCTCCTCCAGATACGGGAGGGAATCTCCTTGGAGCCTTTGAGTGATGTCCTTGAGCAACCAGGGAGCGGGCTGTCTGAGTGGCACAAAGCAAGGCTCTCCCCAGGCTGAGTTGGGCAATGCCGCTTTAGCCTTGTCGTTGCAGTGAGTAGCGACCCCAGTGCGGTGGATGTGGGGTAGGCTGGGCCAGTTAGACCCGGTGATGGGGAAATCAAGGGCTCTGTCACCCTGGGGTCACTGCTTCCAATGAGACTGAACTCTTATAGCTCTGCTACGTTGCATCCTTGCAATGCTGTACAAACGAGACCTGAGCCCAAAGCATTACCGGGTGCCTTGCAAATGGGACGGCATAAGGCTTTCAGTAGCCTTTGGAGCATCCTGCCTTCTACTGTTTTCTTAGCATTACTGGGCTAGGGAATGGCTTTGGCGCTTAACCGGAAACGCTCGAATGTCTTAGCCCATCACTACAAGGTTTGCAGGTCCAGAGAGCTGGTTGCTGTAGCATCCCTTCAGGTGGGAACTGCCTTTGCCGATCTAATCCAGCCCCTTATTGCCTGTCTTCGCAGGGTCCCTCCCCAGTCCCTTTCCCTTCTATATAAAATCTGATATTTTTGCCAGTCCGTTCCTAACGGCTGATAAAGCAGTTTCCTGCTCGTGGCCCTGTGGACCAGTCAGCCTCTTAGCTGTTGCCCTGCCCGTCTTTCCCATGCGATCCTTTGGCTGCTGTAGATTTTGAACCAGTGTTGGGACCTGTCTGACGGAGAACCAGCCCAGCCTTTGCTGCCGGTCTGACGTGAGGTTGCACAAACACATTTGCTCGATTGCTAAAGCAGAAAGTGTCTCTCCCAGTTACTTAGGGTGAAATCCCTTGCTTCCTATTAGCGGGTCCTGCCGTCCCCTGGTCCTATTCAGATCTGCTCAGTGCTGCTCCAAGGTGTGGCGGCAGCAAAGTCCTGGCAGATGCTCTTTGGGTCGCTTTAATGCTTCTCGCAAGCAGAAGAAGAGTGCTTGCTGTTGCTCTCCAGAACTGAGCCCGCCAGCCGTAGAGATGCAAGGCCGGATGTGTTGCTGCCAGTGTCAAGGCTGCCTCCTGTATTGATGCCTCTCTCTGCTTCTTGCAAATGCTGTCCTTCAGGGCTCCCCCAAACACCAAGAAGCGAAAGGCAGCTGATGGGGCAGGAGCCGTTCTGGAGAAGAAGATCCGCGTTCCGGACCCCGTGAGCAGCTCTGAAAGCTCGGAGGAGGAGGAAGGGACGGCGGCGAAAGCTGCGAAGGGTAAGAGCCCTTCCCTGCCAAGAGCAGAGGGTTGAGAGGGTGCTGGGAAGCAAAGGAGATTCAGCCAGGTAGCAGTAACCACCCCTGTAACGCAGGGCTGTAGGAAACGTAACTGGGGTGAAGGGGCAGCGCAGACTCGGTGGTGGAGCAGCTCCTCATTAGCTCTTTGTGTGGATGCTCTTGTATATGAATGCATCACTCCGAAATGGGTCTCGCGCTTTGGGTGTGCATTCAGCTCGTTCAGAAGAAGCCTCTCGTATTCCAGGATAATCGCGACCACGCGAGGAGTGAGTGGTGATGGCTGTTTTGGAAGAACTCCCCGCACAAATGAGCCCCTGCTCGCATGCGCCTTTGCGGGGCGTGCGGCTGTTGGAGCACAGCTCCTTGCACATAGCTAGCCCTCAACCCAGTTCACTTCTTCTGTAGCCCTGGTGCTGGATAAGTGTGGGCAAGTCATTTACCCTCGTGGCCTCAGTTTTCCCATCTCTACAATGGGGATAGCTATGCTGACCTAGATAAACCCCTAGCTAGCTCTGACTTTGGGTCTCGCACACTGGGGGCAGCCTGGTCTTTGGGTCCTTGCTTACTGCGGCTTCCCCTCCTGTGTTGTAGCTGCCACACCGGTTATCCCCAACTCTGCAGTGAAGACAGAGAGCAGCGAGGATGAATCCTCCTCTTCAGACGACAGTGCTGTGGCTGGAAGGGGAGTCGAGGTGAGGTTGCACTGGTCCCTACCCTCTTTCCTAGGGCTGCTTGTGCTCCGATGCCAGGTCTTCCTGGGAATCTGTCAGCGCAGCCAGGTGGGATGGGTACGGTTGTCTGTCTCTTCAGTAACACTCCTGGGGCATAACCCCCAGCGTAGTTGCAGCTGTTATGAATTTCCCTATACTGGGAAAATGTAGCTGTTAGCTTTGCCAACAAACCTAGGCTCGGGTAGACTTGGGCTATGTCTACATTATGGGGGTGGCCTCTGGGGCAGCCGCTTCATGCAGATATTGGAGGTTTTGTGATTTCTTTGGAAGGAGACCTCTTCAGAACTGAGTTCCCTTAGTGTTTCCTGCAGGTGAAACCTGCTCTTGCAGGTGGCAAGGCTACGAACTCTGTGCAACACGCCACCCCCAACAAAGCCAGCACCCCTGCGGGTAGACCAGGGGCTGCAGCCACCAGTCGGAGCAAAGCCAACAAGCTAAAACCTGATGTGCCAGCTGTTGCCTTGACTCCAGCCAAAGCTGGGCAGAAGAAAGCTGCTCCTGGTAAGCCAGGGCCCGCTGCAGCAACTCAGGCCAGAGGTGCCCAGAGCAAAGCAGCGGCAACAGCAAAAGCAACAGAGAGCTCCGAGACCAGCGACTCATCGGAGAGTGAGGACGAGAAGCCAGGAGCACAGCTCCCAGCCCCCAAAATAGGTAGGAGCGCTGGGGCCCTAGAGTAGGTTGCATTGCAGCTGTCAGGCCCAGCGTGAGAAGTGTAATTGCAACTTTCCTGGAGAACTATCAGAGTAAAATTGCTCCCTGTGGAGGTTGAGGAAACCCTGGGAAAAAGGGAGCAAGGCCAACATCATTGCTCACTACCAGATTTTGCAGACTTTATATGGGGCGTACCCCTTCTTCGGAGGGGACAGGGACCTAGGTGCGCTCTAGCAAGGGGGGTAGTCTCCCGTATGGGTGCGTCAAGTGGTTTGCTCAGCAAAGCCATCCTGCGCTGGCATCTCCGGCTGCTGTCCTTGCCCTAGGAAAATTCCTGCCCTGCGGTTTTTTGAAAATGTCTTCAGCTTTCCAGGTTTGGTCTCAATCCAGAAATGAATCTGTTGGAAATTTTTAGAGAGGTCCTTTTCATCACTTCTGAGATGAGAGAGTGCGAGGGAGGGAGGGAGGGAGGGAGGGAGAAATCCTTGTGAAGACATAGCTTCATTTAGCATACAGCCTGAAAAATGCAGTTCATGCTCGCGGCTCGGATTTTGAGATGAGTTACGTGCATCTACCGAGCTTGCTGTAGGATCTAGGACTGGGTGCGACTGCTCTGTAGCAGAGGAAGAGACTCCCAGGTGTGTGTGTAGGTGCAGGTTTTACTCCGAAATACCATATTTATCTGCATACAACATGCCCCCGAATAAGACTGTCTATGAATAAGACACGCACCTTGTTTTGGGAAGGCAGGATGAAGAAGAAAAAGAGTTTTGCTTTTAACCATGCTGTTCAGAATCAGGTGCCTCCTTTAAGACATGCAGCCTAAATTTTGATTGCTAATTTTTTGGGGGGGTGGGAAACATGAATGTGAGCTGTGAATTAAGGGGGCATGGGACTGGAAGAATTGTTTCTGACCTTTTTGGGAGGCCCTTGCTTGTCATTAGGCCCTGCCCCATGTCGTGACCCTAAGTGGAGTTCCCTTGGGAAGATGCAAGTGAGCCTTCTGGTTGGAAGTGGAAGGCTACCAGGGGAGGGCGTGGGGATGGCTGCTTTAGCTTTACCTCTCTCTGGCTCCTGCAGCAACAGCAATGTAGCTTTTTAGAGCTTTCTGCCTGTCCCCAAAGAGAGAGTATGGGTAGGCGACAGCCTCTCCTTGCTTGTCTTCCAGAGCTGAAGCCGACCGCAGCGGAGGCAAAGAGCAGCGAGGCCTCCAGCGACGAGACATCCTCTGAAGAGGAACACAAGCCCCCGGCTGCCCTGGTAACTCCCTGAAGAGGGGTCAGAGAGCTTTTGACCATTCCTGGCTGCCGTGCCCATGAACACTCAGACCTCCCAGTCATGCCTCAAATTGTAAAGGGCCTTCTCCAGGCTGCTGTGGCCCCTGAGGAAACAGAGACGTCCAACCCAGCAAGGCATCACCGCCTGCTTCGGATGGAAAGTCTGCGTCGTTCTTCCTCCCTAGTGGGGCAGGGCAGAGGATGGAGCAAGCCCAGGGCAGCGCTGACCTGCCGGATGCACTCATTTAATCGGCATCATTATCCACTCGAGTGTATACTGACCTCTTGCAGATCCTGGCTTTGCCCAGGGTCGTTGTCCAGACGGCTCAAAGTGTTACGGGGTCCTTGCTCGTAGTTCGCTCCACGCACGGATCGTGGTGCCTGTCACCGCTGACTTCACCTCCCAAACACTCCTTTCATTTTCCTCCTGCTCCAGATGTTGTGTGTTGTGCTTAGATCACTCTCTCTCTCTTGGCTCTAGGTGAAACCAGCTGTGAAAGCAGCACAGACCAATGCAACTCTGACGAAAAGCACACCCGTCACTCCAGCGTCAACCACAAAGAGCCCAGGGAAAGGGTCCGCCCTGTCTCTGCGGAAGCCTGCAGCTGTTGCAACAAGCCAGGCCAAATCAGCATCTGTGAAGCTCACGAGTCCCGCACAAGCTGCTGGGAGCGCAAAGCCGGAAGACACTTCAGAGAGCAGCGACACCTCTGATAGCGAGCACGAGGAACCCACATCCATAGTGCAGGTGTGTCCGTTTGAGATGCTCTCTTCCCCCTCATTCGCTTGTCCCTAAGGCTTGGAGTCTTTATGAATGAAAACGTAGCTGGATGACAGTGCGATGTAAGGTCGTGCTTCTAACGAGGTAGCTAATGGTTCTAGGTGGTTTCTGCTCCAAACCTCAGGCCAATGCTGCAGGTTAAATCCTATCATGCTTTCAAGCAAGCAGAAAATGCAGGAATTCCTCCCCCCTCCCACCCAGAAATGGCAATTTCACCTCTAAGCAGGCCCGGGGTCATACATGCCCGGTGAGCAGGTGGCCTGTTGCACTGAGATTCCTCCCCCCTCCCACCCAGAAATGGCAATTCCACCTCTAAGCAGGCCCGGGGTCCTACATGCCCGGTGAGCAGGTGACCTGTTGCACTGAGATTCAGACCCGAGAAGTCAGACCTGGTTTCTGCTGCTCTGCTCGGGTGGGAGAGGTTTGGTGCTTTTTAGCCATTGGGTTCCCACGTCTTGGGGAGCTGAAACTTCCCTCGGCACGAGCTGCCTTCTCCCTGCATCGTTTGCGTGGCTGTGACCAGCGGCACCGGAAAGCCCACGAGGAGTTCCAGCTTCTCCCTTGCGCTGCCAGACCCGAGAAGTCAGACCTGGTTTCTGCTGCTCTGCTCGGGTGGGAGAGGTTTGGTGCTTTTTAGCCATTGGGTTCCCACGTCTTGGGGAGCTGAAACTTCCCTCGGCACGAGCTGCCTTCTCCCTGCATCGTTTGCGTGGCTGTGACCAGCGGCACCGGAAAGCCCACGAGGAGTTCCAGCTTCTCCCTTGCCCTGCCAGACGGTGTCTTGCTCTTCAGACTGGTCACTGGCTTTCACCCCTTCTTGGTCATTGGGACTCCAGAGAATCTCCTCATATCTGCATCTTAATCCCTTGTGTCTAACGTGAGCAGGTGAATTGTGCCGTCTTGGGACTGCTTTTTTGTTCATACCAGTCTCTTGGCTCTAGGCGAAACCAGCTGTGAAAGCAGCACAGACCAATGCACCCCCGACGAAAAGCACGCCCGTCACTCCAGCATCAACCACGAAGAGCCCAAGGAAAGGGTCCGCCCTGTCCCTGCGGAAGTCTGCGGCCGTCGCAGCCAAATCGGCACCCGTGCAGCTCACGAGTCCTGCACCCGTGCAGCTCACGAGTCCCGCACAAGCTGCTGGGAGCGCAAAGTCAGACGATGCTTCAGAGAGCAGCGACTCGTCCGACAGCGAGGGCGAGGAACCTGCATCCGCCGCACAGGTGTGTCGGTTTGAGATGCTCTCTTCCCCCTCATTCACTTGTCCCTAAGGCTTGAAGTCTTTATGAATGAAAGTTGTAGCTGGATGACAGTGCAATGTCAGGGCGTGCTTGTAATGAGGTAGCTAATGGTTGTTTCTAGGTTGTTTCTGCTCCAAACCTCAAGCAGCTGCAGCAGATTCAGTCTCTTAACAGAAAATGCAGGAATTCCTCCCCCCTCCCACCCAGAAATGGCAATTCCACCTCTAAGCAGGCCCGGGGTCCTACATGCCCGGTGAGCAGGTGACCTGTTGCACTGAGATTCAGACCCGAGAAGTCAGACCTGGTTTCTGCTGCTCTGCTCGGGTGGGAGAGGTTTGGTGCTTTTTAGCCATTGGGTTCCCACGTCTTGGGGAGCTGAAACTTCCCTCGGCACGAGCTGCCTTCTCCCTGCATCGTTTGCGTGGCTGTGACCAGCGGCACCGGAAAGCCCACGAGGAGTTCCAGCTTCTCCCTTGCGCTGCCAGACGGTGACTTGCTCTTCAGACTGGTCACTGGCTTTCACCCCATCTTGGTCATTGGGACTCTAGAGAATCTCCTCATATCTGCATCTTAATCCCTGGTGTCTAACGTGAGCAGGTGAATTGTGCCGTTTGGGACTGCTTTTTTGTTCATACCAGTCTCTTGGCTCTAGGCGAAACCAGCTGTGAAAGCAGCACAGACCAATGCATCCCTGACGAAAAGCACGCCTGTCACTCCAGCATCAACCACGAAGAGCCCAAGGAAAGGGTCCGCCCTGTCCCTGCGGAAGTCCGCGGCTGTCGCAGCCAAATCAGCACCCGTGCAGCTCACGAGTCCTGCACCCGTGCAGCTCACGAGTCCCGCACAAGCTGCTGGGAGCGCAAAGTCAGACGATGCTTCAGAGAGCAGCGACTCGTCCGACAGCGAGGGCGAGGAACCTGCATCCGCCGCACAGGTGTGTCGGTTTGAGATGCTCTCTTCCCCCTCATTCACTTGTCCCTAAGGCTTGAAGTCTTTATGAATGAAAGTTGTAGCTGGATGACAGTGCAATGTCAGGGCGTGCTTGTAATGAGGTAGCTAATGGTTGTTTCTAGGTTGTTTCTGCTCCAAACCTCAAGCAGCTGCAGCAGATTCAGTCTCTTAACAGAAAATGCAGGAATTCCTCCCCCCTCCCACCCAGAAATGGCAATTCCACCTCTAAGCAGGCCCGGGGTCCTACATGCCCGGTGAGCAGGTGACCTGTTGCACTGAGATTCAGACCCGAGAAGTCAGACCTGGTTTCTGCGCTCGGGTGGGAGAGTTTTGGTGCTTTTTAGCCATTGGTTTCCCACGTCTTGGGGAGCTGAAACTTCCCTCGGCACGAGCTGCCTTCTCCCTGCATCGTTTGCGTGGCTGTGACCAGCGGCACCGGAAAGCCCACGAGGAGTTCCAGCTTCTCCCTTGCCCTGCCAAACGGTGACTTGCTCTTCAGACTGGTCACTGGCTTTCACCCCATCTTGGTCATTGGGACTCTAGAGAATCTCCTCATATCTGCATCTTAATCCCTGGTGTCTAACGTGAGCAGGTGAATTGTGCCGTCTTGGGACTGCTTTTTTGTTCATTTTTTGTTCATGCCAGTCTCTTGGCTCTAGGTGAAACCAGCTGTGAAAGCACCACAGACCAATGCAACCCCGACGAAAAGCACGCCCGTCACTCCAGCATCAACCACGAAGAGCCCAAGGAAAGGGTCCGCCCTGTCCCTGCGGAAGTC